AGATTTCTTGATTGAAATGAAAATAATTCTTCAAAGAAAATGTCTTCTCAACTGTACAGACTATGCTCTCTGATTAAAAATCAATTTTCTTCTTTAAATATTGAAAAAGTTAATCATGAGAAGTTATCTCTCTGAAGAGAAAAGCTTGAATCTCTTATAAACTTATAAATAAGTGAACTATCAAAAGAGAAAGAATATGAACAGTATTTGAAGAGAATTTCTATAATTAATATAAAAGACTCTATTCTGATTTATTCAGATGACTCAAAAAATGAGAATTTGAATAGATTAGACACAGGCATTGCTTATACTGAAGATAATATCAATTTTATCTCAGATTTCTGAAATCTAGGCTCTGAATCTGAAGTCTTTGATGCTGAACTATTTGCAATAGTGAAAGCTTTCAAACTTATTGAAATAAAATCTTATAAAAGAGGAAATAGTTTGAAAGAGATATGAATATTCTCTGATAGTCAAGCTGCTTTAAAAAGACTTAGAAATAGTCAGATTTATAATAATCAAATGAATCTTGAACTGATCTTAAACTCTGTTTTGAAAATTCAAAAGAGAAGAATATCAAAGCTGATAATTCATCTGCACTGAGTTCCTGCTCATATGAATATTCATGGCAATGAATTGGCTGATTCATCTGTAAAAAAGAGTGCAGAATTAAGCAGATCTATTCAAAAAATTATGTTCTGATCTTTTATAAAGAGAAAAATAAAAGAATCTTGTTTAGATAAGTGAAATGAAAGCTGGCAGAAACAAAAGAAGAGTATACATTATTTAAGATTTGAAATAAAACCCAAGTGGAAATCTTGTTTAATTAAATGTAAAAAGAAAATATTCTCATCTATAATACAGCTGAAACTAGAACATGACTATTTCAAATCTTATCTACAAAGATTTGATGATAGATTTGACTTAATAGAATGCTCATTCTGCAATACAAATGAGAATTCTGAGTATATTGTAATACACTGTGCATTATATAATAGTCTCAGAGTCAGATTGAAAGAGAAGTATAATCTAAATTAATTAAATATAAGATTCTTATTCTCAACTGAGACAGGAATTAAATACTTAATAGACTTTCTATCAGAAACTCAAGCAGCTATAAGAAAATGACTAAATTCAGAATTATCTGAATATGAAGAGGAGAAAATCAACCAGATATAGTCTGTTAAAACAGCTATATACTATCTTTTAATAATTTATTTTGTTACAGTCTTTCTTTACTTTATCTTTTTCTTTCAATTCCTTTCTGTCTATCTATTTAATGTGTTTATCTTTAAGACTGTGTTCTCTTTTCCTTTGTCATGATATTGTCAAATGGTTTCAAAGTATCAGAAGATGTTAAAACACTGCAATTTGTAAACAGTTTTTGTATTCTGAGCTGGAATTTTCTGATTTTGCATATCTGAAATTGATGAATGTATAATAGTTAACTTTACAGATATAGAAAAAACCCTGAGAACTAAAAGTTCTCAGGTAGATGTCATAGTCTCTGACTGCATACATCTATAATTGAAGAATAATAATAATAATAATAATAATAATAATAATAATCTAGAGACAGATAGCAGATAGTATTTCAGATTTTAATTAAATAGATGTGATATTTTGCTTTCTGATATGATTTATAGAAAAAAGTTGTGTAGTTGAAAAGATATAAATAAAGTGAATAAGCAGTCTTGATAAAATAAAGAGATGAGATTGAATTATTAAAAAGAGATATATCAATAAGAGCTGTAATCAGTGATAATCTACATTAATTTAATATTAATAATCAAACTACTTTCTTTGTTTTAAAATTATATTTCTGCAATTTATCAAAATTCATATCACAAATTTATCAGAGTTTTATCAAGATTCTGAAAATGAATATTGTTATGAATTCTGCTCTACTAGATCTCTCTGAACTCTTTCATCTGATAGGTTTAATAAGACAAATCACTGATTTCAAAAGAAATTCAATATTGATATATCTGAACATAGAATGAACATAATGATAGCAATGATGAATATCAGTCAGACAAGAAGAAGTCAAACTCATCACTGATATTAAGCAGTTCATTAAAAAGGCATCACTGAACTTGACATCTGAATGTAGAAATGCATGAGAAGGAAATTCAGCTGACAGAGCAGTGTCTGTATCTGAAGATAAAATGAATGTATTTTCTTTCTTTCAATAAAGATAATTTGAATTGAACAGTTATAAGTGTGATAAAAATAAAGAATAAAACATTATACATCTTTTCATTCAGCAGAATAATGATACTGAATGTGATTAAAACATGAAAGTTCTGAACTCTCAAAGAAATGAAGAGAAGTAGTATTAAATTTTAGCAAATATATCAACTTTTCAGTGAGATATTAAAATTTTTTTGATCAACTTAGCTAATTATTTATTAATATAGAACTATATTCAATAGAAGAAGACAAAGAGCAGAGAAAGTTCAGCAGTAATCAGATTATATAACTGTTATAAAGAATTAATCATCTTTGAATACTTCTATGATTAGACTGGCCGCCGGGACCATGAATTTCACGTTTGGTCCCATTTGGTCTGGTCTCATACATTTCTTGGCGTGAATCCCGCTGGGACTAATCATTAAATAAACATGTGAAGTGACTATATATCAGATCTCAAAATGGAACCATGACTTGAAAAAAATGAGAAAGTGGTCTCATTTGATCCCATTTAGTCCCATTCTTGGCATAAAGTTACTATTTTTAGCCATTTTAAGGTTTTTTTTAGACTATTTTTAATTTTTTAAAAAGTAACGCTTTTTGGTAACACTCAAATGAGATTTAAAGTCATTTAAAGCAATAAAAATAATTTAAATTGAGAAGTGGAAATCATGGTCTCATTTGGAAAATGTGACAAGAGTAGACAGTAAGTCCCACTGGGACAGTATGGGACTACTATCTAATGTTAGAACCGTGTAATGGGATCTGTCGAATTGACAATGGGACTATCAAAAATTCTGGTCCTGGTCCCAGACACGGTCACACGGTCAGTCTATCTATGATTCATTTATCACTGAAAAGTTCTTTCTGGTTTTTTACTGAGTGTGAAGAATCATTAACTTTGATTGATTCTCTGAGTAAGAATAATGATATATGAAATGTAAGTTGAATATTCATTAGTTAAAGATATTGAATTGAAAACTTCAGATTGAAAAACTAGAAACTGATTCTGAAAAATAGAGATATATGTCAATCTTGCAACTCAGATTAAAATATTTGATAATACTGATATAAATGAAAATTTCACTGCAGCTATACTGTAATGATAAAATATTCTAATATTCTGAGATCTGATAAGTGATATTTCTGAATATCAGTAAATTGTCAGAGATGACTTTACTGAGATAATTCAGAATACTCTGACAGTAAAAAAGAGACATCTGATAAAAGATATGTAAGAGAAGATGTGAAAAAAGATCAAATTTTCAGAGATACTTTCAGTGAAAGACAGATCAGTGATATAGAGATTTTCAACACAATCTATTTATATTTCAATATATTTAGTTTTCTATGAGTTTTATATATAAATTAGTTAATATATACTTTAATACACATAATTAGAATATACCTGTCTTGATATTCACTGAAGAAAGTTGTTATATTCTCTATCTTATAATCTGTATAGTTATAGCTGTGAAGAATTCACTGATTTCACTGTATCAGAAAATCTTGAATTCTGTAGATATATTTCTGACAGTGTATTGAATACTTGTTTCTAGTTAATAGAAATGATTTTATATTCAAAATAGCTGTAATTCAATCAGTGATAGCCTGTGTAAAAAGTATTAAGATATGAATGAAATTCATCAGATATGTCAATTACACTCAGAGATGAAATATGAAAGCATTTGCATTCATTACATAATAATCTGCAAAGATGAATTAATAATATATATAAAGACTTACATTTTTCTTTTCCTTCTTTTCTTCTTTCTTCTTCTTGTAATAATAATATATTACAAAGATCATTCTCAGCTCACTCAGCTCACTCTGCTCTTCTTCATCTCTCAGTCTGATTGTAATATGGCGGAACCGAAGCGGTGGCTAGTCGGCGGTGTCATGTAGAAGTAGTTGTTTGAGAAGCTGTATAAGTGAGCTTGACTATCTTGCTTAAATAGCAAGCTCATAGGCTACAAGGTTATTGTGAGAATATTACAGATATGATACTTAGTATACTAAGAAGATTGTATAAGACACACAGTAACTCTTATGTATATTTCAGTAGAAGAAAAATGAATCACTGACTTCTTTGATGAGAAGTCAGCATCTAGCTATTCTATATAAACAATGAGTGAATACTCTTCTCTCATTTCATAAGTGAGAATAGCTGGAGTGATACCTCAGCAGTGTCTCATTATCAAGAAAGAGTAATCTGCTGATCTTATATAGAAGTGAGATTCTTATATTCATTAATCAGATCTTTCTATGATACATTCAAATGATATCATAGAGTGATTGAAAACTGGTTTGAATGAGATGAAATTATTCACATAGAAGTGATAAGCTGTGTGAAACTGTAACAGAGTCTTAGCACAGCTGAGAGTATAATAATACTCTTCTCTTTAAGAGTATAGTCTCTATACTCTCAAGATTATCAGATTAGAAATTATCTTTATTATATAGTAATAGTTATCAACTGATTGACAGTACATATACTGTGTATGATATAAAGATGAGTTTTTCTACTGACTGTGTAGATCTTTCTTTTTCATCTTCATTCAAATCAAACATATGATAAGTGAGTTTCTTATATATTGATTTGAAATGTGAAAAAATATAGTTAACAAGTGACTTACAGATCTCTTAACATATTCTATTCTATATATGAAATTCTCTGCAAAAGTGATATATTTTAGAGACAAAGCTAACAGTAGTGACAGGATTTTTTAAAAAGATCTCTCTCTCTATAAAACATTTTTCTTTTCTCTTTCCTCAATTACAACAGTGAGTGCATGAGAGTATCATTCTTAAAGAATAATAGAGGGCTTATTCTGATGTTTTCTAGTGAATAAATGTCTTTGTGGTGCAGCGGCGGCCTCTGTGACTATCAAGAAAGTCAGGTTGAAGGTGACAGTGTCAATGAGCTGTGAGAGCACTGCTTTTATTGTCATATCTCCTTCTTCTCCTGCTTCTTTTGCAGCTGTGGCGGTAGTCACTGTGCCTTGCAGTGAGGTGTTGTCCCTTCTGCCAGTCAGTTTGTTCATGTTCAGTTCATTCCCTGCTCTCCTCACTGCTGTTGTGATGCTGCCTCCCTTCTCAGTCAATACAGTGATATATGACTTCATGTGATCATTTGAAGAGGAATCTGAGAAGAGCTTGATTCTAAGAACAGTGACTCTGAGAAGCTTAATCTGTAGTTTCTCTTCTGTGACACATCTGAGCCCTGCTCAGAATGCTACTGAGTTGAGTCTACAGAGTTCTATGATTTCTTCATCTTCTCTCTGTGAAGAGACTCTGATACAGTCTCTGACTGACACTGCTACTTATCTGCACTGTGTCAAGCAGCTGAAGAAGAGAGAGATCTTATATACTCACTTCTTCTCTCACTTCTATTATTTCTGTTGCATCTGTAATAATGACTTCTGTCTCTCTGCAAGTATTATCTATTCTACAAGAAGATATTGTGTCAGCTCTGATAAGAAGCTCAGATACTCAAGTAGTACAGAGTGAGAGTCTTGAAGCTTCAAGTATTGATGAATTCTGTCAAGACTGAGAAGGTTCTTCTTACTTATCTGTAAAAGAAGATGAAAGTGTGAATCTCTGAGATAGAAAAACATCTCAGAATAACTGACTTTAAGAAGAAGTCAGTTAATATCACTGTTAAAAGCACTGTAGAGATTAATCACTGATTAAAGAGAATCTTACTTTAATTAAAGCAGATAACTGAGATGCTTTGTAAGTTAATAAGTTAATATTTCATGCATTTCTTCTGCTCTTCTACAGTGCTGCAGTGCTAACTTCTCAGTAGACAAAGATATCAGTACTGAAGACTTCAATGATAAAGAATGAGTTTAATAAGAATGTGATTGTTGATGAGTAGACTCTGATCTCTCTTTTTACTTTTTCAGCAGACTGCAGCCTTATTAGAATAGCAGCAGTCTGCAGATTGATAATATTAATCTTTTTATTAATTTCAAATATTTCTTTTCTTTTAACTGCTTCAGAAATGTTACACTTGTATAGTCTTATTAAACTTCTAAAAATTCTTTAAGAGAAAATAGAAGAAGAGTGCTACAGAGTCTATAAGATACTGACTTATTACTGTGAGATTATCTCTAAAAAATCCTTTAAAAAAAATAAGAAGTCTTAAGTGATATTTTTTATTCAATATCTCTGATATGTAATAAGACAGTCTCTACTAGCTATCTCATAAATTGCAATCTCTTTCTCAGCATTTTTCAAATGCTCAAGTGATTCTCATGAATTCTCTGATAATGAATAATCTTTTTATTTAATAAGATATTAAAGCTTGCTGTAATATATTCACTTATTCAATATTTTCTTTATAAGATATTTAATATTACTCTCAATCTCAATGCTATCTGACTGAGACAGCTTCATCTCAAGATGTTGCTTATAGAGCTTCAAATAGAAAATGTGAAAAATAGAATGAATTGATTTCAATTCTGTGAGTAATTTCAACTCATATATCTACTTACTCATCACTCTTGTTACTGAGAAAGATTCTAGTTATCACTCACTGAGCTTCTTATATAATCTCATTGTCTTGATATTCTTTGTTGAAAGTAGCACTTGATTCTCTATTGAGAACTTCATTGAAAGATGTTTTTAATTATAGTATTTCATCTGCTGCTTCTGAGTGCAGTGAATACTTTTCACTGTCTTCTCATGAATTTTATTCAAAAGTTTTAATCTCACTTTTACTTCTGATACTGAGAGATACTTTATTCTCTATATCTGTCTGACATTCTGACTGTTTATTTCTCTCTTTGAAATGTTGTTCATAATGTCACTGAATAATAAAGAATTATATTCATAATAAGCATAGAAAGAAGATATCTTTAAGATTGTATTCTTTGTATTGTTATATACAAATTCAGTAATTAGAAGATGTTTGAGTTAATCATTCTAATAATATGAATAGAACACTCAAAGATGCTGTTCTAGTGTCTGATTCTGATATTCAGTCTGATCATCAATCTGCAAATAAAATGTAATACTGAGAAGATGTCTTATTATAAGATGATAGCAAAAAGCTGATCAGTATTTGCTGATGAAGAGGAATTCTTGATCTGTTATTAACAATTTCAGAGCACTGTGATCATAAATGATAATATCTAAAAACAGGTCAGTCAATTCAGAGACTTTAATCTTTTTATAAGTAGAGATATATCTAATCATCTTTGTGAAGCAGTTAACAATGATCAAAATTGAGTTATATTCTTTGACTCTTGTTGACTTCAGCAGATTAACTATGAAATTCATCAATAGATTCTGTCATGAATTCTTTAGAATAGACAGTGATGTCAACTCACTGTATTACTTATACTACAGAATCTTTATTCTTTGATAGATATTACAAGTTTTAATATACTTTTTGACATCTGTCTGAAGCTTGTCTTAAGTGTATTTATGTTTTAGAAGCTTCTCAGTCTTCTCTAATCTGAAGTACTCTGTATGAGAATCATTATAATAAATTCTCAATAACTTCTGATACACTGTCCTGCTATGAGAGATAAACACTGAATTATTCAGTAGTAGAAGTTCACATTCTTCTAGTTATCAGTGACTTGATTTCTTAGTGACACTGCTCTGCTCAGAGTCTGTCTCTTTCAAGTTCAAATCAGATTCTTTCTTCTTCAACTTCTGAATTTAAGCTGTAGTAGAGATATTTCTCTTCTGTAATTCACTGATGAATTTCAAAAGTAGTTAAGTTAAAAGATTGTAGACTGTTTTATTCTTTGTCAATTCAATGATTGTAAGATATAATATAAGAAGCTCATGATCTTCAGTGTCAGTTCTCTGCAGAGATTCAGGTTCTCTTTCACCTTCTATACTGAGTCATGCAGCTGTCTCTTCAGCATCATTTTCAAGCTTTAGAGAACTTCAACTCTCTGCAGCCAGCTTCTTCTGCAGTGATGACAGAGATTCTTTTGTAGAATTCTTCTCTGTATTAATAATATTATAATCAGACTGTCTAGACAGTGTATCAGCAGAGTTAAGCTGATCTGAACAGTATTAAATATAGAAATCATACTTTGAAAGCAGCTTTGTTCATCTGACTTGATGTTCTGTCAAGCTCTTTATTATCAAGAAGTAATGTAGATTTGCATAATCAGTGAGAACTTGCACTGAGTACTTACTACTCTGAAGATAATGTTATCAGATCTTAAAGAATTTAATAATTACTAACATCTTCTAATCATGAGTATCATATCTTCTCTGTGTGAGTGATAACTTCTTAAAGAAGAAGATCACTGATCTTCATTCACAGTATCTTATAAACTCTGTGAAAAAGCCTTCTTTCACAGACAATTCATTGTCTGTTTTCTCAGAGATGATTATTCTCTGATTCTTTCAATGTTAAAAGATCTTCAGTGTCAACTGTGAAAAGATTTCACAGATCTCATTTCTGAATACATCAGTCTCACACTGACTGAGAAAGTCAGGATTAAAATGATTCAGTATTGTGACATCTGTAAAAGCTTGTTTCAATTCTGTAAATACCTGCACAGTGTCTTGAATGAGAATAAATGATCTCATTTTTCTATCTTTTACACTTCTCTTCAACAGATCTGTAAGAGAGGTAGTAATCTGTGAATATGCATAGATGAATCATCTGTAGAAATTCACAAATTCTAGAAACATCTGCATCTCACAGTACATTCACAGTGCCAGCCAGTTCTTAATAACAGAGACTCAGCTTCTGTTCATTGAAATGTCATTCATCTCAATAATATAATCTAAGAAATCAATTTCCTGCATGTAGAATGAGCATTTTTCAGTGTTTATATAGAGTTAATACTGTCTCAAGTGACTTAACACTTCTTGAACATGAGTATCATATTCTTTCTCTATTTTTGAGAAGATTAGAATGTTGTTTAAGTATACTATGCAGAAGATGTTGACAAGACCCTGCAGTGTCTCATTTATATAGATCTGAAAGATAACTGAAGTGTTACAGAGATCAAAAGATAAAACAAGATATTCAAAATTGCTATACTTAGTATGAAAGACTGTTTTTCAAATGTCATCTTTATTAACTCTGATTCTATGATAAGCATTCTGTATATCAATCTTTGAGAACATCTTTGCTTCAGATAATCAATCAATCATCTTGTCAATCAATGATAATGAATAGTGATTCTTAATCATCATCTTGTTAAGATCTCTGTAGTTTATACATAGACATAGTCTATCATTCTTCTTGAGTATAAAGAGTATAGATGTCTCTGTCAAACTCTTTAATAAATGTATTCAGTTCTTTGATTGTACTTCTTCAAGATATTTACACAGAACATTCAACTTCTTTACAGACAAGTTGTAAAGAGATCTGTACAGTGCTGTTACACTGTCTTCAAGATAAATCTTGTATCATATCTTAGTATCAGGAAACTTCACTGCTTCTCTTTTCAAAAAGACATTCTTAAAATCTGTAAAGAGATATTGTGTATATCTGTCTTCAATGACAGATACTGCTACTAATCTTACAGTGAGAGTGATGACTTTTTCATCTATCTTCAAGTCTCAATCACCTGCTATACAGTATATTGACTCAATTCTTTTCTCAAGATTCTTCTGATGAAACTCTTCAGATTTCTCTATCACTGTCTCTTCATCAGTGAGATGATACTGTTATACCTGAGTAACTCAGTCAATGAGAGAATTGTTTTCTCTCAATTATGAAAGATTTAGAATGATGTTCTCATCTATAATATTAACTATATGAAGAAGCAGACTGCTTTTCTTGAAGATTTCTTCTGAGTCTGTGATCACACACTTTGCTTAAATTATGTCAAAACAGTGATATTTCATTTCATCAGTAAATTTTACATAATCTGATAAATCTATCTTCTTTCAACTCTTCATCAAAGAAAAGAAATAGAATATGAAGTTAATATTCATTCTGAAGTTAAGTAGACATCTCACTGATATCTTCTCATTCAGAGTATACATTGTGATTATAACATAAACTTAAAGATATGAGAATTGTCAATTCTTTTCTTTCTCTTCTTTATCTTTCACAGATATGTTTGTCAGAAGAGAAGTTAACTTTGAGAAGATATCTTCTCAGTTTCTTCTCTTCTTTGACTTCTTGTAATCACTGATATAGTAATCATCAGCTCTGCAGTTGAAACAGAGATCTTTGTCAAATCTTTTTTAATATTTCTTTACAGTAAGTGAAGAATCAGAATACTTGAAATTCTTCTTTACTTTCTTCACACTGAAGCTGTCATGACACTGTTTAGATTCTGTTATTGATTGCTTAGAAAAGATCTTATTAATCTTTTTCTTAAAGAATTAATTATTCAAATAGATTCAGAAAGTCAGGTTGACAAGCTCAGTGTAATTAATTAATAAACTCTGATATTATGATATTATTATTCACATCTTGTAAGTCAGCTTTATGAGATAAAGCTGTGTTTTTAATTGATTTAAATTATTAATCAGTTTCTCTCAATATTCTTCAAATCTTGTATTGAAATTGAAAGAATTCTCATTATCTTATTAATATAATAAGTTGAATCACTGTGTCACTGTGAAGCTGCAGTTATGATAATCTTTAATTTGATTCAGTAGAAAGTTCTTAAATTCTTCTCAAGTCATGATAGTATTGATACACTTAAGCTCTCTTTTCTTGATAGCTCAAGTAGTTACAGAGATGCCTTCAAGAAGGTTGATGATGTATATTACTCATATCTTATGAGTATTATACTGGCTCAGATTAAGGTGAAATTTCTGTTCAAGAGTACAGATAAAGCTGTGAAATTCAGATAAGATATTTCTCTTATATCTTGATAAATCTCTGATCTTAATCTCTCTATCTTCATAATAGATGTAGATATGTAGAGGCTGCAGCAGTAGCAGAGCAGTTGAAGAGCTCATGTTAAAATATACAATAAGTTCAGAAATCTTGAATTTCTGCTGAGATAGAGATGTACACACTCTAGAGAATAATGTAGTATTTCTCTCAGAGAGTGAGATTGAGTTAATTTCAGTGTAAGTGTATAAGATTATATCAGTCTGTTAGAGCTTAACTGATTTAAATGTATAATCAGATTGAGTGATTTAAATTGTAATATAATAAAACTGAAGCAGTGACTAGTTAATAATATTATATAGAAGTAGTTATTTAAGAAGCTGTATAAGTGAGCTTGACTATCTTGCTTGAATAGCAAGCTTATAGACTACAAGATTATTATGAGAATATCACAGATATAATACTTAGTATACTAAGAAGATTGTATAAGATATGCAGTAACTCTTATGTATATTTCAGTAGAAGAAAAATAAATTACTGACTTTTTTAATGAGAAGTCAGCATCTAGCTATTCTATATAGATAATGAGTGAATACTCTTCTCTCATTTCATGAGTAAGAATAGTCAGAGTGATATCTCAGCAGTGTCTCATTATCAAGAAAGAGTAATCTGCTGACCTCATATAGAAGTAAGGTTCTTATATTCATCAATCAGATCTTTCTATGATACATTCAAATGATGTCATAGAGTGGTTGGAAACTGGTTCAGACAGGATGGAATCATCTGCATGAAAGCGATGAGCCGTGTGAAACCGCAACGGGGCCTTGGTGCGGCCGGGAGCGTGACACTGATTAGTATTCTGTCAGTTGTAATAGAAAGCTTTTAATTAGAAAAGTTCTAATCAAGATATCTTATCTGTATAGTATATCAAGAACATCAGCAATTCATCATATCAGTATTAATCACAGTAATAATAATAACAGCAGTAGTATTAATCACAGCAATAATAACAGTAGCAGTATCAATCACAGTAATAATAATAACAGTAGCAGTATTAAAATAATAAACAACATTCTCAAGTATATCTGTACTACTGCTGTAAAGACTTAAGAGAAGAAAGTAAGCAGTTATCTGAATATTCTGATAAAGCAGCTTAGTAAATGAATAATGTATGAGTACTGTATTGAGTATATTTTTCTCTGTCATTTAAATACTGCTTATAATAAGATGAAGAAAAGCTCAAAGTCTTATATAAATTATAATTATAAGAAAAAGAGATATATAATTACTTCTGAAGAATTAAAAGAATAAGTTAACAATCTGATCTGAATTCATAACTTTTATTTTTCTATATTAGATAATTTCAAGAAAACAATAAAGAGAGCTATATTAAAATTAGTGAAGAATCTTTCAAAATAGATTAAAAAAGTCAAAACTTACTAATAAAAAGTGAAAGCTTAATATATAAAGAGTATCACTATTACTCTGAAAGCTCTGAATATTATTATCAGTATCACTGAAAAAGCTAAAATTAAGATTAAGAAGATTAAGTTGAATATTGAAAGAATAAAATTAGAAATTATAAAGAAAAAAGTTACTGTAGAAAAGAAGAAAATCATAATTAAAAAGATAAAACTTAATATTGAAATTATTAAGCTTAGAGTGTATCATGAGCTTTTAAGAATAATAGTCAGTTATATTAAAGAATAAAAATCAGTGATGAAGAATTTTATAAATTTAATAAATAATATCAATACTGAAGCTAGTTATATTACTATTAAGATGTATAAAATAATGAAGCATGTTCAGAGATTTATAGATTATCTTGATAAGAATTCAGTTATAGTCAGTGATAGTAGTAACAGTAATGAGAAATTTAATAACAGTGATAATTCTCTTTCTATCTCTCTCACTGATATCTCTACTGCTGCTGTTAATTCTTTTCTCTCTTTCTTCTTCAATCTTTCAACTTCAGTTGATTCTCTGGCTATAAGCAGTACTGAAACTCTCAACATTCTCAGTGAAAAAGTAAGTTAGAATTGATAAAATGATTCTCAGATTTATACAGAAGTTGATAATGATATAGATGAATAAATGTATAACTCTCAATTTCTCTGAAATTCTCTCTCTTAAATGATAAATGATCATTGACACTGACTCTTTACAAACTTCAATATCACTTTACAATTCTCTGAAATAAATGTTGATATGAATATGATAGAAAATGATAACAATAATATAGAGATAGTTCAGAGAATTCAGAAGAAATTACAGAGAGATATGACAGATTTTTAATAGAGAATAATTTCAGTAAATGAGACATTTTTTAGAATTAGTGATTATATAGATAGGAATCAGTAACATTGTCAATACAATGATGATTTTGTTCTGTTCATAACTCATTTACAGTGATTCCACAGCTAATTCATCATTATATTATATTTTACAGTTCGGCGACAGTGTCGGCGACTGGCACGGCGGAACAACCATAACCCGGTCGTATAATCAGCCTACGTTTTTCTGGAATGGTATTGTGCCACCCCAACGACGCCACGAGACCTCTTGAAACCCAACCTCGTTGTTCCCCTGAACAATGAGTGGAAACTCCGAGGCACTATATTCAGATTAAGTTATTCCACACGCGCGCCACGACTGCCTAGAAGATCACTGATGCAACTTCCGTGGGTTGATGCTTCCGAATCTCCAAATTCATGATTTCAAGGTGCATCGATGGCGCTGCAATCCCTGCTGCGGCCCATCATCAATCGAAAGAGGCATCGGTGTGGAATCCCCCAACATAGAGGAACTGGGTTGTTTCACAGCCTCTCGCGCGCCAGCTGTGCACCTTCCAGCTCTGCCTCGTCAGACTTGTCTTTGTCGAAACTATAAAACCAAGGGCAAGGCCGGGTTTTTATAGATCGAGCGGCGGCGTTGGAGCAACGTGAGATGGCACAAAAGCGGCGAGGCAGGCGCCATCCCCGAAGCGGCAACGGCGATACCCCAACAGGCATGGCACACAAGGCGGGCCAATGATCGCGGGGCTCGGCGGGCTGGGCGCCCCGCTAACCGGCAGAAAAGATACTTCCAGTGTTGTATCTAATAGATAGTTATCATCTGCCTCAAAACTCGCAGGTTGGTTCTCCTCCTCCCCTCAAAGGTGTTTCACTATACACACCCTTCTGATGCGTAAACCGTAAGGGAGCTCTGATTCCCTCCAGCACCTTCCAGCAAGGTGCTGCTCTCCGCCACACAGCTATGTCTCTATGGAGAATAAGACCGCAATGGTGGCAACCAAATGGCATACTGAGGCTGTTCTCGCACTGCTGCCGGCTGTTTGTGAAGCAAATGCCACCCCGCCCGAAGCTAGACCCGTCAGAAGTCACCGGCAGCTATCTGAAGGGAACAGGTCCTGGAGGACAGGCTATTGTGAGTATATATATATCCTTCCTTTCTATATCGTTACTTTGCTCGTTAGTTGTTTTCTTTTTGTTTTGAATTTTTTGTTTGTGGAGTTTATAGGCAATGAGTTGTTACTTTTTCTGTCGTTTTATAGACGATAGTTTATAGACGAAATGTTTGGCCATTTGGAGTTTCTGTGTACCTTTCTGGTACACCCATGCTTGTTTGAATTGGTATCACTCATTTCCTACTGGATGCTCTTCTTCTGGCTCCAGCATGATTCTATTTTCCATTACTTGAGCCCTGATTGGGTTGCCCTTGGTACCGCTACACTATTGCCACCCATCTGATACGCTTCAATCTTGATTTCTATTATTCCAACGGACCAATTGGATATTGCGCTTGTCGCAATATTATATATATGCTCCGATATATATTCCCTAATTTTGTCGCTTCGGGGAGGGGGGGGTCCCATTATATGTCTGAACCCCAAGGAAGCGAGTCGACCGGCCAGGCAAAGGATATGCGGATCAGTTATTATCCCATGCACCCCTATCACCGTTCCCCCGATTACCCTTCTGAAACATTGTATTTGACATATATATATACCCCATATTAAAAATATCCTATCATTTTTTGTCTCAACTTTCTTTCCCTCCATTCTAATGAACCCACCACATAGAACAAAACCAACTCCGCCGTCCAACTTATCCACAAACCCACCGGCATCGTCGTCAAATCCCAGGCGACGCGATCGCGCACGCAAAACCAGAAGATCGCCATGGGCATCCTTGCAGAGAAAGTGGAGCTGCAGCTCAAGGGCGAGAAAAGTCGGGCGGCTATCAAGGCTGAGACGAAGAGGAAGAGGAAGGCTAGTAGGGAGAAGAAGGCTAAGAGGAAGTATAGGAAGTTGGAGGAGGAGAAGAGGATGAGAGGATTAGGGGTGGAGGGAGAGAAAGAAGGGGAGAGGGAAGTGGAGGGGAAGGCAGAGGGGGAAGCGGAGGTGGAAATGGAGTTGACGGAGTCGGATGCGGTGGAAGAAGGGCGGGGGAAGAGGTGGTCTGAAGAAGGGGTGATATTGGATAAGGAGGGTACGGTATAGGCGAGCAGAGGGACGGGGAGAGTTCCAATAACGTTGAGCGCGGGCGCTGATTTGTGAAGGTTTGGACACATATAGAGTTTTGATAACTGTGCTGTATTACTATTTTCTCCCCTTTTCCCGAGAACTACATGGCGTGGCGTATGGTACTTATAGCGCAATGAGATCCCACCAAATGTTCAGATATCATCAACTCAAGATGTGATGCAGCAATCTTGACCTATTAAGTTACAACAAGCAGAAGTATAGTTGCCGCGCCGCCCTTATAGCTCCGTAATGGTTGATATAAACGCCTGCAGCAAATCGTTCTTCAAATCCACCCAATTCTCTAAACCAACACTGATCCTCAGCAGCCCCCTGTCAACCCTAGGATCCGACATTGCACGCCACTCAATCAAAGATTCCACTCCACCAAGGCTAGTGGCATGGTGGAATAGTTTGAGCTTGCTGGGTAACCTCCGAGCAAAGTATGGAGTCCGCAGCACGATGGAGAATACAGGCCCGAAGCCGTTCGGCATCTGCCGCTGCAACCACGGTTCATCCTTCTGTAGACTGGCGTGATATATCTTCTCAACAACAGCCCGGACAAAAATGTCCTCATCGTCCTCGGTTTGCGGTGTATTTCGTTTCTTCGACGCGCCATGGAGCCATGATACCAACTCCGCGCAACTCTGGCTGGCTCGCTGCACACGAACCTCCAGCGTCCGCAGGCTTCGAACGCCCAACCAACCTTCCAGGTTTCCCAAAACACTACCCATGGCCGCGCGATCTTCAAAGAGCCGCTTTACCCACTCTGCATTCTTGGTCGCCAGCACGCCACAGAGAAGGTCACTATGCCCGCCCAAATACTTTGTGCCAGAATGCATCACAATATCCGCGCCCCACAGGAACGGATCCTGCAGCCCCGGCGGCGCAAACGTGCTGTCTACAATAAGATAAGCACCGCGCTCATGCGCCTTCTTAGCATACTCTTCAATATTGAAAGCCGTGCCCAGCGGGTTAACGGGTGTTTCGAGCAAAATCACATCCCCCACCTCCAAGCTCTTGGCCGGGCAGTCGAGGGCCAGTTTCTGGAGCCCGGAGAGACGGGAAATAACAGCAATCACTTCATGGCTGCCGTGGTACCCGTCGCCCACTGATATGTGGCGCGGGTTCAGGAGGACCAGTGCAGCGTGCAGAGCTGCCAGGCCAGTGGAATAGGCCACTGCGGGGGCATTTAGGAGGGATGACAAGATGGCTTCGAAGCGCGTTGCGTTTGGCGCAAATACGCGAGAGTATACATAGTTTTTGCCGTTGAAGTCGGCCTGGATATGTATAAGTTATCTTGTCCCTTTTATCTATCTATTTACTTCTTTATTTTCATTTTATTTTTAGCTTGTCTGGTAGCACAGGAGACTAATATATAACTTACAATGGGGTCTTCACTAGGGACCAATTGCTTTGGGTCATCGGGGAATCTGAACGTGGTGGACAGATGGATTGGCGGTGCAACATCGTCCACCAAATTCAATGCATCATCCGCATGGATTGCTCGAGTCGACGGATGATGGATATCGTCTGATAGAACCATTTTGATAGGGTCTAGGTATTATAGAATTGGGATTTGTGAGGCCTAGTAATTTTGTATGCGGATGAAGCAAGCCAGACCTCTTCATGAGTTGGTGTAAATATTATAACTCCGTCTCCCATTGCCCAGCTGACCGTCGTTTAGTTAAATACTCTCTCTGCCCCTCCCCCTCCCCCTCCCCCTCCCCCTCCCCCGCCCCCGCCAATCTTAGCCATCTATATCAGCCGGGCTATAAATACTTCCTCCTCCTCCCGTCACTCCATAACAGACCATACAAACCTCATTCTACACAAATCACACCCATCCATTCATCTACAAGAAAGCAAGAAAGAAACGAAAACGAAAACCTCCCACCAAAACCACCACCAACTCCAAACCCTCAACATGCACGAAGGCAACTGCCCAAAATGCGGAGCCACCACCGCCGGAGAAGTCAAGAAGTGCACTTCTTGCGGTGCCGTGAGTATACGCATCTTTTCTACCTCAAGACCACTCGTTCTCGTTCTCGCTCTTGGTTTTTCGTTTTTGTTCCATGCAAAGAATAGTACATACATGAACTAACAATACCCCCCACCTTGTTCGCTACTTTGCCTAGTCTTGCCCCGTATAAACTGATTTACAACGGGGGGTGGTTCTGCATTTTTGTTTCGTTGGCCCTTTTCTTGATCGATGGCTCAGCGGGCCCCCTAATCCTATCCCTGGACCCGTTAAACGGATGCGGATATACCATGTAACGAATGACTTGGATGTTGGGAAATGTGGAGGGATGATGGGATTGGTGGGAGGTTTATCTGATTTTAGCAAGGAATGGATGGGAAGGGCCAGCATGATTCACGAGTGGATGTTTTTCCATGCATTGTGATATAGCCAGTTGGGTGGGGTGGGTTGGTGGGATGGGGTTTATGGGCTGTAGAATGGGATGGCTAAACCGTGGGGGATATTTGTGTCTATGCGCTGTTGATATATCTCATGATATGCTATCCTATCTATCCTTTCCGGCTCTCTTTCTCCAAACTGGAATCGTATCATACATTCATTCAATACCTGTCAGGCCTAAGTATTTGAAATAAAAGAGAAACGGGAGAGTTTATTGCAGAGTTACCGTGGAGCCGATTGAAAGGCATCATCAACCTCGTCAGAACACTATCATCTGATTCTGTGTTTTGCGTAAACGGCGAGAAAACAAAATTTACCGGTTAAGCATATGTGATGCTATATTCTTATATTCCGCACATGTGTAAGGAGAACTCTCTTACGTCTCTCTTACGTCTCTCAGAGTATGATGAGCAAGCTGTGAAAATATTATATCCCTCTTACGTTTAACCCAGCCTCATGTTCATCAGGTCGTCCCACCCATCGGCCCCCTTAACTCAGGATCAATTCATCTAATCAAAATAGCCCCTCCGAAATTTTCCCCTCCACCTCCAATCCCCGCGATACCAAATATCACCCGCCAATATACGCCGCCAACCCCGCCTTCGCCTCCGGGCTCAATCTCTCCTGCGCAAAGTTCGAAATCTTCCCTCCATGCTTCTTATCCGCCTCCTTCAAGTACGACCCAGCCCACACACCATACTGCGGCCCAGGAACCTCCGGCCACGGATCCTTAGCTGTCGGCCGGATGGTGTTCAGCTGCGTAAAGCCAACGCCGAACGCCATATCCTCTACGTCGTTTTCGGCAATGATGTCGTCCTTTGTGGCTGGGAGGGGAGGTTGGCTGAGCAGCGTTAGTAGTGCTTCACACGTGAATGCCCACCCCTTCTTGTAACGGGAGGCAAAAGCTTCTGAGGTTGCGAGTGTTTTTGTAAAGGAGATCACGGCGCTTTTTCGGTCGAGAGGGCGCGCGAGTTTTTGAGTTTCGGGGAGGATTATGTTGAGATAAATCGGTGTGAAAACGCTAAGAGGTGGGGGGTAGGAATGTTAGCATTCCAGGAAGGGACAATGAGAACGTAGTGGTCGTACCCTGATTGTATGTTCTCTGTCACTTGGATGAAGAAATCGGCGCTGTAGCCCTTGGCATCATTGGCAGAAATGAAGTGGTAGAATCGAACAAAACGGAGAGCGAAGTTTTCCGTCTTGGAGTTTTGGAGGCGGGTGAGGATTATTTGGATAATAGAAACAAAGTATTTCTCCAGCAGTGTTCTAGTCGGAAAAAAAGCAAAAGAGAAAAGGAATGACAGTCAGTAACGTACAACCAGAGCCAAGGTGGGATTTTATAAGACGAAAGGAAGAAGAATGGACATACGAAGGGAAGTTAGCAATGACACTCTCAAGAAGATCAAAACCATAGCTCTCATTCGCTTTTGATGAGACGAGCTTCTGGAAAATACCAAGAATGGGCTCAATTTGATTATTTTTCGTAATGGAGTCTGCTCCACGCGGGATAATCGATGATAGCAAGCGAACAAGGGCTGGAACATTGCCTTTCGACTCCCACATGTTTGGCATGATTATTGGAGTGATTAGGTTCTGATAGTACTCAGGGAGTGTCCCGGATGGGTTGGTCTCGAGCAATGCCGCCAGAAGCTGGAATACATAGGGAGCGAACTCTGATAATTGTACTAGTTAATCACAAAGGGTCTTGATATTTCGGGATATTTTTGAAAAAGCCCACCTTGCACGTCGTTCTGTAAAACTGCGACAAAAGGAGGATACAACGCCTCCTCGAGTTTCGTTGGCTGTGCTGGTGCAGCGAATCTGCCATGATATATACTGTTAGCTAATTCAAACTTGCATCTTCAAACGGCATATTGGGATGCTCACCTAATCAAAGCACCCAGAGCTTCGAAATGGTAGTAATAAAACCTTGGATTGCTCGGGTTCGTGCTGATAATTTGAGTGATAGTGATGAAGTGCCGTAAGATGCTGTCCGTCAGCGGGACGACAGCTTCCTTGATAACGATAAGTACCCTCATGACACACCTCATCAAGAACTCATTCTCTTGTACTTTCGGTGCAGCTGGGTCTTTCTCTATTAATCGGAAGATGTGTTCAAGAAGGTCTCCAGCTAAGGGAGTAATCGAGCTAGGCGGGATGACGGGTTGACCCTTGCCATCCGTAAGGAATAGTATCCGCTCCACTGCCACAGCGGCATATGTGTACACGACGTATTCCGACGCACCAAGATGTTTCACCAGAAGGGGCAGGACTTCCTGCCATTGTTCCTTTGTTATCAGACTCCGGAATGCATAGAGGTATTTGATGGCATCCACTTTAAGAATCGGCTGTATACCAGTTTCTGCAACCAGATCAGATGCCAAATGTTTTTGGAAGAAATCAGTGATATTAACCAAGCTGTTAGTGCTTGTAACTCCGTGGCTGGCGGTGGCAACGCCTTTCGCCGCTATAGCCGAAAATAGATAGACTGCAGTATCTTTCGCTTTCCACTGTTCTGATGGGTTCTTGTTATATTCCGCGAGGTAATGATCCGCATACTGGGTCACAACTTTTGTGACCGATTGTTCGAATTTTTCCAGCAGTTGCCTTAAGAAATCCGTAGCAGCCCGCCTCCTCGTATCACTATCTGAGCCCTCTAGATCTCTGCGGATGAATTCAATTGGCTCATCTTCAAACATCTCAATATCAGACTCACGCAGGCTGATATTAGGAAGGATGACCTTTTCGGTGACTTGACTCAAGGTACTCTCGTCTTGGAATGCGACAGCGTGCTCTGGAATTCTCGCAATAGAAGTCAAAAACTGGAGGGCTCGGGAAACCAATATGTCATATTTTGTATTTTCTCCGATCGTCGTGAGAAGGTTCCAGGAGCTCCCGATAAACTGTTGAACATGGCTTCCAAATACATCGCTATACTTTTGTACATAGAGCGTCAAAACCTGGAAGATTCCAGCTTTTACAAACTCCAGTTGCCCTGCTTCCGATTCATCGTTTGTATGGAGTAGCGTGTTATCGTATACCAGATACTTTAGCAGGAGGGTGGCTATTGCTGAAAGGTGATCCTCGAACATTGGCGGCAAATCATGGGAAGATAGGTCATAAAGCAGCTTTATCATCAAATTGAGCTGTGTGAAACCCTGAGTAAGCTGTTCCTTATGGGATTTGTTCTGTTCTAGGAAGGTATCAAGCGACTTTAAAGATGATATTCCGGGTCAGCATTTCCATGAAGATTCTACGAATGTAGGGTTATAGATAGGTAATACCTCAAACAGGGACAGATATGGATTCCCAAATTTCCCTAAGACATGGTTTATCTCAATATATAAGTCGTCCGACCGAAATAAGGGTCGCCATCTTTTGAAAATCGAGTGTGCCACCTGCAAAACACCAATATTCACAACGGGATTGTCGGGTGAAAATTTCGAAACCAGATCCTATGACGTCGTGTAAGCATGCGGGCATTTCCCATTCCTTAGAAGAACGGATGCTACTCCATACATCCACAAGGGTATCCCATCTTTCCCAGAAGTCACTATCAGCTATTACGCTCACGGCCTCGCCCAATTGAGTCTGGATGCCTGCAGGTACGGAAATCATTAAGCTGATCAGTTCTCGCTTGATTGTGGTTACTTCGTCGAGCGGAAGCTTATAGTTGCCATCCTCATCGGTCCAATAGCGCTTGATAAAGTTTTTGAAGCATAATGCGCTTGCTAAACGGGTGTTATAGGGAGTAGAAGCGGAAGCGGTAATCTGTAGTAGGAGAATGGAAAAGCCAGGTTTTGCCTCCTCCTGACGAAGTGTTGCCTCCGCTGTAGTTAGAGAACATTAGAACAGAGAGCATATTTGATATCCTGACATGGAGGCCTTGCCTTGTTTGTGTTGTCTTGGGTCCACACTTGCTTCAAGAAGCTGTGAGAGAGGTCCTATATCACCAGCCATGGCTGCAGGGATGAGCAGAGCTCCTGGTAGGAAACCGAACGAAAGGGGCGGGTAATTGATGTTAGATGGGTAAAAAAGGAGAGCAATAAGACTTCCAAGAAACAGCTTTATAATAGATCTGCCACTATAAATAAAGGGGGGGAAAATCTTGGAAGGGCTTTCTAGCTTTTTGTATCCTGCGGAGGTTCTCTAGCAACTGCGGGATGTTTTTTTCTCGTTGCTAGGCCCCGCTGGGGCAGCTTTTTTGGCTTATGTCAGCGAGGAGGGGCAATGAAGGCGGTGAGTGTAAATGACACTAGTCCTGATCGAGCCAGTGTTGGGATTCTGCCGTTTCCCAGGGATTAAAGATAGCCCGATCCCAATCTAGCTAGTACTTGACACCCCTTGGCAGAGGCTTGACGCCAAGGCTTAGTCAAAGGATCTGCCTGAAGGTTTCCCCGGATTTACTGCTGGCCCGAGCCTTATTTTTTGCGCCAAACCATCCCGCCGCCCGCCTCCTCACTCTTGCAATCTGCTCCTCCCCATCTTTTCTCTCCTCTCCTCTCCTCTCCTCTCCTCTCCTCTCCTCTCCTCTCTCCGCTCACCACACTCTTGCACTCCGCCCGCTGTATCCCCATCCGCCTCTCCTCTGTAATATCCTTCCACATCTGCTGTGCTTTTTCTACTGTGTTCAGGGCAACACTTCATCCCCCGCCGTGATCCTCCTCAACCCTTCAATTCAACCCAAAATCTTATGTATTCCCACCCGCGCTTCCTATCAGACACAACAGCTTTTCTCCCTGGTCGGAAACTATAGCCGGATTACTTGTTTTACGTGCATTCGATATTTCTACGTAAGGACTCTCTTCGCAATGTTTTATTTTTGATTTTGATTTTTGCTGTTTAGTCAACCCCACACTCTACTTATCTGCTGTGCTGGCGACTCTTGGCTCGCTCCCCACTCCACTTTGAGCTCGTCTCCGAAAGTATTTCACCTTTTTTTGTTATGCTAGGATCAACTCACACTTATGTTACACCTTGATAGTCATCTGGTTGTTCTCCACCTCCGTCCACTTCGGTTCAGTGATCCGCTCGTCCCACTGGACGCATGCCTTCTGGGGATGCTCCTTCGCCTCCCCAAAATAAATCATCTTCGTCAGCTTTTGCAGATGTCTTCAAGTCATTAGCAAGTGGCCGCCCTAAATCACAATCACCTGTACCGCATGGAAACAGCATTGGCGACGCCTTGCCACAGGAGATGGAAGGCCGGAGGGGTAGTCGAGTCACGTTCGGTTTCGAGTCGTTGCATCGCGGGAGTGGATCCGCAGCACCTATCCCGGATCCTCAAGAACCCCCCGATTACGACGCTTTACACAAAGGGATTAGCCATGAACATCCAATTTCCAGCGCACTTGAGGTAGCAGAAACTGCGTCTCGCTCCTTACACTACTTCAATGCGGACCAGGCATTGTCACTGTGGGAAGCGGGCAGCTATCTTATCGACTGTTCCACCTCAGCAGACGCTCGAAAAGCCGGCTCTAACCTTCTAGAGGCCATATGCCGTCGACAAGATCTTTCTTTGCCGGCTCGTCAAATTCTATTCCATTGTATTTCACAATCCTTCCAGCCAGATGTCATCCCAGCACAAGTGAACGCCTTAATCTCATTGTCAGACCATGGGAGGAAGTTAGACTTTACGGATAAGCCGGTCTTGCTCACCATTGCCGCTTGGATAGTTCCTCTATATAATGCAGTTGCCTCGGCGCGTTCAAAATTGAAAAAGTCGAAGACGGCCCGCCAAAACAGTACCGGATTAAATGATGGCATTTTGGGCGACCTGTTTCAATTGGTCGTTGATATTATTACTTTGCAGCGCCACCCTCCAAGTCCGGAGGAACTCGGGCCACTCTTAGACCAGATTTTTATTATTTGCAAGCAAACAACTGCTGCTAATGACATCAAAAACTCGCTTTCCGTTTTTGATGCGATTATCCACACCTCGGACATTCCAGACCCAAGTCTCAACGGCTTGTTGGAGGTGCTGTGTAGCATTCATGCATCCGTTAAGTCTTTGGCTGGTCCCACATCGCGAGCAGTCCGTAACTTGGCAAAATCTCGGAAACAATCAGAAATGGTTTCTTTACTACATGCCTTCCTTCTTGAAACATCTGAACGTCAAGATCGAAACCTCAATGTGACTCGCGGCGCAGTGGATATATTTAGAGATTTGTTGGCTGCTTATGGCCAAGATGGGATGCCGACTATATCCTTTGACGCACTCATCGCCTCTCTCCACAGTGCGGCTAAAAGGCACGATGGTCGTATTAATACTGATATTTTGGATGTATGCTTGAGTATGATACAGGGCGAATATACGTCAACGACTTTGCAGCATTCCTGGTCAGACTTCATTCGCCTAATCCTCATATGTTCTCAAAGGGTCTTAGATGCACATATTCTGCCCCCCAGTCCCGACCCAGCTATTATGCGACAAACTTCACCCCAACGGGCTATTACGGTCGATGACTTGCAGTTGAATATATCTGCAAATATCGGCCGTATCCTTACTGCTATCGAATCTCTTTGGCCTAAGTTAGATGAACAACAGCGATTTAATTCGAGCAATCTATTTTCTGTCGCCCATTCTCAATTAAATCCATCACAAGCCCACCTTTACTTCGAATTTTGCAAAACCGAACGGCTTGGTTATCCCGAACGCCCCGAATGGATTCATTTCTGTCGGGAGCTTGTTAAAATTTTCATTTTACCTCAAGAGAAGAACATGGAAGTCCGCATGCAAGCCCTTAGCACATTTGAAGACGCCTATACATCATCCGAAAATGCCGCCCGCCTATTCCACGAGGAAGGTTTTATACAGTCCCTACTTGTTAAATTTACGGAAGAACGTTCATATCATTTCCTCGATGCATTGGTGTCGTTCTTAGTAAAAGCATCTAAAAACTGCAATGAGGACACTTTTCGGTTGTTGGTGGAAACATTTGGCTCTCACATTTCAAAGGATGAGGACATTATCGAGCAAATTTCGCCATTATCGGCTCCGGCCCCTTCTCATTCTACATCAAGGCCTGTTTCATCTACAAACGGATCGGAGGCATCACTGTCCAATGTTGCGGTTATTGGCTTGGTTAGAATATTTCTCAGATCGCTCAAGGACGCACCAGTGAATGCTGGAATTATTTATGAGAAGCTGCTGGAGGTCGCCCAATCACGAAGTAGACAGACTGATTCGCGCCTAACTGCTCTCAAATTACTTTTCCGGCTCCGTTGCGACTCAGCCGGCGCCATCTATGTGACGTCCGCGACTGAGAATGAATTCTTGATTGCTGTATTATGTCGGGCAATTGACCTTTCGTCGAGGACAAGTGTTAACGACGATTCTGCCTCAGAACGTACATCAAAAACAGAAGAGAACTCGCCATTGAACCAAGGTGGTAGATTGTCGCTGAAAGAACCAGGATCTGGATCACTTTCCACCTCTGGTGTCCGAACAAGCACCCAACTTCGGACTTTGAAATGGACGCCGCCTATTTGGACTTATGCCGAACCAAGAGGCCTGCCTGAAGAACCCCCATCGTTTGCCAGCCCTCACACTGTTGCATATTTGAATAACCATATGACTGGCCAGCCGGATGAGACGCGGAAAATTCCTCTTAAGATAAATCTATGGCTGGAAACAATCATCTCTCTATTTCAACAGGAGAAAGACTGGGACGTGTACAGCTATGTGCTAGCACATCTTGGCCCTCAACTAATCAACAGGGACCTTTTCCAGAGTGCAGTCCCCCAAATCAAGCTCCTGCGCAGCGTCCTCTGTGAACAAATAAAGAACGAAAGCTTTCTAGAGCCCCTTGGCTGGACCGGCGTGAAGAAGGCGGATATTGCCCTTTGTATCCTCGACTCCCTTACTATGCTAATCAGTTTTCATCAACACTTTGCCAAAAGCGAACAGGATGAGATTGTAAGGACATTTATTCACGGTATCGGTTCCTGGGAAGGAACATCGCGTGGTTGTATACATGCTTTGTCTGTTTGCTGCCATGAGATACCCCTTTCAGTTACCAAAGCTCTGAGCCCTATACTCGATAAGATGTCGAAAATAATAACTCGATCAAATATTGCTGTTCACATTCTTGAGTTTTTGGCACTGCTAGCTCGATTACCCGACGTCTACGTCAATCTGCGAGAGCAAGAAATACGCCCCTTATTCGGCATTTGTGTCCGATTTATACAAACGTCCAGGGAGAGATACAAGTCTGGCGATCCTTTGAGTTTTAGGTCGAGTTCGTTACCTTCGCGACTAAGTGGAGGGCTTAAAGACCTAGCTTCGAATCAACCCGCTGAATCCACGGAGTCGACTCAAGCCGATGACCTGTCGAAATACGTCTACATTCTAACGTACCACGTCATGGTATTCTGGTTCCTTTCTCTCAAACTCCAAGATAGAGTGAATCACGTGAATTGGATTTCCAAGCGCCTAATCTTTATGGACGAGCATGGGAATGACGTAGTTGATGAGCAAAGCCAGGTGTTTATCGATTTTATGCAGCGAGTAACATTCTCAGACTTGGGTGACACAATCCCTTTCGAGAAATTCCCCCCTTCTGACTCAGACGGGCCTGTTATCAAGAAGTCTTGGATCGTTGGAATGAGCATTGTTACCATCGAAACCGCAGGCGCGAGTGGATTGACACAGATTACGAAGCGACAAGCCTCAGGAACCACATACGCTACCTATCAACAACGAACCGCGCCAGTTCTTCCGCATCAGATACCAGCACACCCTGGATCTCACTCACTCAGCGATGACCGGTCTTCGCGGACTGCAATCTTCCCAGGCCATGTCCTCCTTCAGATGACAACCACTGCAATGCCCATGCCAACTAGCATGCAGCCTATACCACTACCAGACGATGACTTTACTCGCCGGGCAATCAGTTCATTTGACAGGAATGACATTGTGGATGGGCACAAAATTGGTGTCATTTATATCGGCGAAGGTCAAACCAACGAGGTTGAGATTCTTGCTAACGTAGCAGGAAGTCCGGACTACGATTATTTTCTCTCAAGTCTTGGAACGAAGGTCTCATTAAAGGATGCTAAATTCAACACCCAGGGATTGCACAGCGGCGACGATGGTGAATTTACCTACGCATGGCGCGATCGAGTGACAGAAATTATCTACCACGTTGCGACAATGATGCCAACGAATCTCGAGGCTGACCCGCAGTGCGTAAACAAGAAACGACACATCGGCAACAGTTTTGTGAACATCATTTTCAATCACTCGAACCTTGCCTTTAACTTCGATACCATCCCATCGCAGTTCAACTTCGTCAATATCGTAATCAGCCCCGCTTCCCGAATCAGCCCTACCCACAGACGTGATTCCGAGCACGAGTTCACCGATACCCCCGATTTCAGCAAAACCTTCTACGTCGTGAAGGTTATGACCAAGTCAGATTTCCCAGAACTATCCCCCTCTGCAATACCCAAAGTTATCTCCTGCAAGAATCTAGCCTCGTTCGTCCGCATCATCGCACTCAACGCTTCGTTCTACTCGCTAGTCTCGAGTCGCGATTCAGGCGAGCACCTCTCGTCTTGGCATAACCGTCTCCGTGAGATCAGACGGCTACGCGATCGCGCCAGTGCATCAGCGTCAGCATCACAACTTGCGCACGGAGGGGTGGAGGGCAGTACTGATGGCCCAGGTGAAAGCGGCTCGTATGCGTCGTACCGGCGGAATACGAAACCTATTATTCAACCTGAAGAAATGACCACTTATGCTACCGGAAGGCCGGCCCCTTTCTCAGAATGGGCACCGCAACCAGAGACCAGTGTATTCTCCAGCTTGGACTTTTCACGATGGAGTCGATGATGATGCATCGAAAAGAAAGACATGATGATGTACATACATGGTGACAAGTTGTAAACATACAATTTGCCCCAGAAAAGAAAAAGGACCGAAAAGAGGTATCATGGAAGAATGAATCCGGCATTATAACCCCAAAAAATATTTCCTGTATCCCAATACAACTACAAAAAGACCCAAAAAGGAGAAAATGACGACGACGGGTAGGATGAGGCCCAAAAAAAAAGCAAGCAAATCGGGTCGCAGCAGCATTTTTTCGTTCTTGTTCCAAGTTTTCATGACCTTCAATTGTATATATATACATATATACCTTTCGCTTTTATTTTATATTAGCTTTTCCCCTCATTCGCGAAATGTATATCCGCAATTGTGTCACAAAAATGCAGAACGGAAAAAATAAAAGTGGGCATTATCAAAGGCTTTCCTGCTTCTCTTATTCCTTTTTACATTTATGTCTCCATACGTCCAGGACAGTACATCCATACCCCCTACTCTGCTCTGCAAAAAAGCTAGGTAATTACTTTCTGAAACTTGTCTATTGTTTACCTATTCCCTTATTTCTTGATTAAAATATTTAAGCATCGATACTATACTATCCATAGATATCTTCGATCAGGGAGCTCGGACAGAATTGGATGTGGAACCTTGTGTTTAACGACTGGGTGCGGAGGGCCGCCAATAAGCTCTTCACCTTCCGAGTGAGGGGCCAGAAAAGGGAGGTATACTGTTAATATGACTTAATAGAATGACAGTGTTAATTAATCTCTGGTAGTGGCATAAATCTCATGCATTCTTATTATGGAATCAATGATAATAACTATATCTATAGGAACTCAAGAGAAGAATCAGAAGAGTTTTCACCTGGAACAAACAAAGCAAGTACTCATTCCTGTCTTCACTCAATGACTAACAGCTATCAATCAATCAATCTATGCGGGCGGTAATGCTCTTTCATGGAAACCACCCACTTGTAGACAACATTGGAAAGAGGAAAGAAGCTTATCAAGCGAATATTTTTCCTCTAGTGACAAATATCGAAGTAATTCTTTGCCATTTTGTTTTGTCTACTTTCTGTTTTCTACCTCGTCTACCATCCATAATATCACTTGAAATTAAGAAAAGTGAAAAAAAGCATTTAGATTGCACCGTAAAACGGAAATGAGAAAAAACAGGCGTTGAGAAAAGCCATTGGATTAGTTATGTATATAGAGCAGTAAAGGAGTAATGAGAGATGAAAAAGGGCGACTTCTTTTTATTTTTCACTGTAAAATAAGTGAAATTTTCCCACGCAAAGGAAATCATAAAGAAACAAACTAAATCACAGAAGAGAAAGACACAAAGTATTGCGAAGATACAAACAAAAGCAGTCCATGACACCTGACGGACAATATAAAAACAAAACAAAACCCCACGCTCATTCGCTTATCCTTTTCCGGTTTCAGCAGGAAGTTGAAGAACAAAATAAAACTGTAAAAATATAAAAGTAACAATATAAAGTAATAGCAAGGTAAAAGAAACGGAAAATCAAAGTGTAGAATGGAAACCCGAGAGGAATAGAAGACAAACCATTAAACGGCTAATAAATTACCCGCATCGAAAGGGGCGTAGGTGTGTCAAATATAACACTAAATATAAAGGGAAAGAATACGGGATGCAGCTCGAGGATGGAAAAAGGTACGCAAAGGATATTCGAAGATATTATAGTAGAGGTAAAATGGGTATAGAAAGGGAGAAAACCATCTCTGCTTCTGCTTCTTCGGGAGGAGGCGGGAAAAAAAAGAAAAAAAAAATAATATACCAGCGTGCTCTAATTCATAGGTGTAAATGCATAGTGGGTATCAGTCATATCATGAATATAATAAACCCGCAAATGTGAGGGAGCAACGTTTCATGAGATATATTATTTTGCCACGGAAGATCTCTATGTTTTCCTTTCGATTATTTTGCGGCGATCCGCGAGCCAGTACGCACAATCGGGGTAGGAGAGAAGTGTTTTTATACTGCGGCATATTAAATAGTGGTGAAATGTCGGAGAAACATGTGGCGATCGTAAATGTGCGAGCGAAAGAAAATAGGGAATCAGAATAGAATAATAATAATGATAACGATAATAATCACAACCCGAAGTGTATGATCGAGATAGTATCAATACTAACGTGCGGACTTCAGACCCGAGTTCTCGATTGCGGAAACTTGTACATCGTCATTGCGCTCCGAGATTGGAGTTGTACTCTGTTTTCGTTGGTACATAGAACCTTCGACAACGCTGGTGTTTGTGCTTGGAAGAGAGCTTGCTCTGGAGCTCTGAGTCCCCACGGCAGGAGATGTTGGTGCTCCGCTACTATTAGCACTGGACGGAGAGGTGTTCAACTCACTCAGGGAAGTGTGAGATCCGGCTGTGCGATGGGAAGGGCTGTCCCCAGATCGGCCACCAGTGCTGTGTGAGTCATAGATGAGCTTTTCTATAGCGACGATTTGCTTTCCATAATTGGTCTTCTTGAGCTCGGGCAATTGCAGCTCAATTTGCTTGACAAGAGCTTCCCTCTCTGGCCCCTTGAGCTCACCAAGAACTGTCTCTGTAGAACCCAGAACGTTAGAAAATGAAGCCTTAATTTAACGTAGGAATAGGATATATAACTTACGAACGACATAATTCCCGTATTGATCCCCCATGAGGCTCAGGAGTGGATTCTCTCCCCGATCATTTGGTGTCGTCAATTGACGTAGAATTTCGGTTCGTTGGCCCTCCGCGCCAAATTCAATGCTTTTCTCAACCACGTTACTGGCAAACTTGTGCTTCGAGAACACAAGCAACCGTGAGATAACGATGGAGATGATCTTTGCCTTGTCATGCTCCTCGCCATTCTCGATGACATGCTGGATCACGTAATTGCCGAATGTGTCTGGGATAAGACTGGCAGCGCAAGCATGGAGTTCTGCAAGGATAGCCTGCCGATCTGGTTCTTTACAGTGTTCCAACATTCGTTGGATGACCCTACAACCGTAAGAGTGAGCTGCCCATTGGTGAACTTGTCCCTTAAAGGCATTGATGATGAACCGAATATGAACGGTAGGAACCCTTTCGACTGCCTTCTGAATTACATGGTTCCCATTTTGATCGTTGACGCACTTCAGGACGTGGTTTTCAAGCTCTTTCACCATCGACGCTTGCTGATCCGTGAGGATATGTTCCAAAGCCTATATGGTATTGTTAGCGTAAGAAAACCTACAAAAATGGATGTTGAGCACTCAATTTGTACCTTCTGAACAACTCGACACCCATACATCTGTGTCGATAGAGCAAGTATGTGGCCCTTCATTTGGTTTGCTAGTATCCTTTTCTGCGACTGATTGCCGTGCTCGAAAAGCTTTTGAACGACATAGTTGCCAAAGACATCTGTCATAAGTTGAAGAGAGTTAGGTTGGATTTCCCGGAAGACTTGATCCTTTTCGTCGCTATTTGCAGATTCTAACATGTGCTGGATGAATCGCGACCCATGTTGATCACCACTGAATTCCACGATATGGTTATAGATATCCTATTATGATAACGTTAGTCATTAAAGGTCGGAGTAAGAATTAGATAACACCAAAACCATGCCGTCATACCTTCAGCTCGTAACGTTTGCTATTTTTGCTGTTTATTCTGAACTCTTCAAGAAGTGGACTACGAATGACTTGAATTGGATCCTGGTCGCGATGGGAGTTACGAGGTAGGATGGACGCCGGTCCTAGTCCACCGAAAGGTGCAACGGGATAGTAGTTGGAAAGCGGGTTCACTCTGGCAACCCCTTGGTAACCCGGAAATCCATAACCGCGGGCAATGGAAAGACGCGCGTGGAGTGGGTTTGCAGTAGATTGTATGTAATCCTGTTGTTCCTGCTGCAAGCCACGAAGCTTTCGCTCAAGAAGCTCTGCTTGTCCATCCGGCAATTGCCCTGTCAGCCGACTTCCAGAGGATGTCCGGAACTGGCCGTTGGTTATTGGAGTCCCTCCAGCGGAGTAAAAGCTGTGCACGCTACGACCATAATCGCTAATGGTCGGTGAAGCAGGACCTCTATCGTTCAAGCGGGGCGCATTGAATTGGTGATTAGCTGGGATGTCAATTTGCTCATCGGACGTGTGGATACTGTGTCCATCGTCTGCTCCCATAAAGGGTTTGAATCGGGTCAATGATACATCATATGACGCGTGGGAGTGATAGGGCGGTCGCTGAGGTGAAACGTGGTGATTATAGGGGTAGCCATCATCCTGCATATGAAGTTTGCTCATGCCTGACGCAAGCTCGTTTTGAGTAACGGCATATCTAGGAACAGTTTCATGCGAATCGGAATGGAAGGAAGCATGGGCTGAGTGGGCGGGCCTCTGCGGAACAATCGAAACTGAGTTGTGGGAGATGTGGCCATACTGTGCATGATCCCTTGTCCCAGAGGCCTGATCGGTACCGTTTGGGGAGAAAGAACGGAGATTCAGCGGTTTGATGCTGTTTTCGGACAATGGCGCATCCATGTCGCCCAAGGGAAGGCCTTGTTTGTTTTGTAGACGTGGACCTAAATTATTCCTCAGAGGGGTGCCATTGATACGGCGACGACTAGCGTCATCCGGTCTGTAAGCATTAAACCCCACGAGACCAGAGCTATCTTGGGCTGGGGATGAGGGAAACATATCAGGCTGTGTGATAAATGACTTGTTATTGGGAGCATGCGAGGGGTTACCGATAGCCGATGATCGAGAAACGGAAAAGTATGGAGACGACATGACGCCAGGTGTACTGTTAATGTTCAGCGGAGTGCCTTGATCATTTGGGCCAGGTTGGCCAGGATGATTAGCCAACGGATCCCGTAGCTGCGATGCTGAATTGGAGAGATCCCAGGGCAAGGTGGTACGTCCAGTCCAACAGTCAGATTCTGAACTTGACAACAAAGAGCCGGATCCGGTTTTGCCTTCGATTGGAACCTCAGGGATAGAACCATTGCTCCAGATGTTATTTTTCCAGTTTGTCTTGGGGGTACCAAATGTTTTGCAAATACTTGAAGTCTGGGGTACGTGTGAGCGATCATTCTCCTTCATGGCGGACGCAGAGCCGATATTAGAAGGTTGGCCACGACTCTGCAAGGTTTGGTATCGTTAGTTGTAAAGCTCTCGCTTCAATAGGCGAGAGCGCGATGATATCCAAGAAAGAAAGATGGGCAAAACTTACCCTCTGAGCGACACCACTGTCTGCTAAGGCTAAGGTCATCTTGGGAAAAAGCAGCTCAGAACAAATAGAACGAGCTTGTGAAAGCTATTGATAAATCAAATATGCCTTTGAAGGGGTATCTTGAGGGTATCTCGAGGGTATTTGCAGCTTTTGAGGAAAGTTTTGTTGGTACAGAATAAACAGGGCAGCGGTACAATAGAGAGAGATAAAACGTTCACAGAGAAGATATATTTGCAGGATACCATGCGCATAAATCGCGAATCAAGAGGGATGGTAAAAGTAATATATATGACTATCAAACACGTTAGTTAGCTTTTCCAGACAATGAATGGCTCGGAGAGTGAAGGTTCACCATGGAACATAAGAAGTTAATTATTATACTTACCACCAGAAGGTAGAAGAACTCAAAATAAAAAGAATAAAAAAATAAAAAGAATAAAAAGAAAGAAAAAATAGAAAAAATAGAAAAAAAAAGAAAAGAAAAGAAGGAGATGCTCTTGATCAGTTTGATGCCGGAGATAACCAGGTCATGTACACACAATATACAGCGTTTGAAAGAGGGAAAAGGGGTTACCGGGGCTGGAATCAAAAGGTACCTGAGGATAGGAGGAGGTCAGTTCGAAGAAGCGGAGCAAGAGAAGGAGGGAAAGATATAAAAATTAATTGAGAGTCAAGAAGATTAGGGGAAGAAAGAAAGCCCATCAAAGGATATATTTGCTGTGGCAGGGATTGAAGAAAAGGCACCGGTAGAGAAGTGCTAGGTACAGAGGTAGGGTAGGGATGTACTAGGAAAGAACGATAGTCTAGCTGAGAGCAAAGCGGACAACGGGACGGGCAAGAAAGAAAGAACAGAATCACCGTCTTCGTTTGCCAGCAGAAATCGCCGCAGGCAGCCGGGGTGAGGGAGCAGAAAGAATTGCCTAGTCGAGAGTGAGGTCAACTCAACTCACTGCTCACCTGCCCTGAGAGGAAGCGCGATTAGCGTAGCGGTGACACCCTATAGCTCATTGGGATATATAATATTCTCTCTTTATGGGACAGGATATAAACGAATCGGTCGAATGAGGCGGGTCGCAGGGACAGGGAGGGAGAACGGAAGGACGCGAATGCCCTAGTCGCTTGATATTTGTGCAATGGTGAGGAAAGAGACGAGAGGATAGGTTTCAGAAGTCGAGAGCGGCGTATGTTGCTCAAGACCGGTGGATATGTGAACCACGAGGTGGGGAGGAAGTGCAAAGAGGACCACTATTGGGTGATAGCAGGCAGTTTTAGGAGGGGGGATGAGGGACTGGAGAGAAATGGGCGAGAGCAATCACGACACGGGAGGCAGAAAGAGGGGAGGGAAGGAAGAAGGTGAAAGAGGAAAAGTGCGTGTGCGAGAGAGTGTGGGTAAGTGTTTTTGAGGGAGGCAGCAAGCAAGACACAGGCGGGAAGGCTATCGAAGGGAGACAAAGAGAAGCGGAACACGCATTGAGCTGTTACACAGACGGAAGCATGATCGCACTGCAGGCCTTGTGCAAGGGAATTCAGTGCACTGGAGGAAACAAACACTAGTTAGTTAGTTATTTGGAGGTATTAGCAAGAGATGTGTTGGGTAGGTATCTTCCCCGTTCTCTTCTTTCGTTCTTTCTCTCCTGTGTGTTTGTCTGGCTGTCTGTCTGTCTGTCTGTCTGCTTGGCTACATTTTTTTTTCCTCTCTCTATTTTTGGGTCGTTGGTGCTTGGGGGAAGTTTGGGTGACGAAGATCGGGGAACCACACAGATAGACGGGCTACAGCTAGCAGGGTGCTGGTCCTGCTGGGCCTGCTGGGCCTGCTGGGGTGGAGGAGGGGGAGGGAAGAAGAGTGGTACAGTGGATGAGACGAGGGCGTACAAAGACTCACACCGAGCAAAGAGCGGGCAGCATTCCCTTCCCTTGTTCCTGATTGCTCTCTCGACCGGTGGGTGGTGCGTAGAGAGATAAAGAAGTAGCTCTGTATGTCGAGCTGGCGGGAGAGAGAGAGAGAGAGAGAGTATGAACAGAAGGCTCGTAAGGGGGTAGGTAGGTAGGAGAGGAAGTGAGGATGAGGATGAGGTTGAGGATGAGGAGGTTGAGGTGAGGTTGGAGGCTGAAAGTTGGATGGTTTGATAACTCGCCAACTCCCGCAGCAAGGAAGGAGCTGCTGTTGCTGTTGTTGGAGTCTTGGGGTCAAGAGAAGTGAAGGTGCGGTGGTGGCCTCCTTCCAAACGCGGCAACCAGGATTTCCTGTTCCCACTTGTTTTGATTTTTTTCTTTCTTATTTCTTTGCTTTTTCGTTTTTTCTGCATCCGGAGTTCGTTTGTTCCCTGTTGTGATGGATGTTCATTTCTTCTTTGCACTTCTTATCTTTGCTCGGTTTGGCTTTTTTTTTATATTTTTATTATATTTTTATTAATTTTTAATTTTTAATTTTTATTTATCCATGTTCTAAAAAACCAAGCTAGCTCTAGCCCGAAATATTACCCATCCATTTCTACATTTTCTCCATATATTATTATTCCTGCTTAGTACTGAGGCCCGCGCCCCCTGCCAACCTTTCGAGGCAAAACGTCCCTAACTGTCCCCAAACTGTCCCAAGGGCCAAAACTGCTTAAATCCAAAGGTTCCAACTGGTAAACTCCCGGGTTTAACTAACTAACTTTTTTAGTGAAAGGCCCGCCAACCCACCCCTCCTTGGCCGTAAAGGCTAATCGAGTCCGGTAGACTATTCATAGCATATTCATAGCATCGAACCAACCAAACCCACGGCAAGTGGGCCGCCAGCAGAGGCCATAATTCCACAGGAAGAAAGGAAAAAGATCTGATAACTTTTACGTACATTATATGCCTCAATTACTGACAAAGGAAATAAATATATTTCTTCAGAAGATTCGAGAAATATCTCTACTATGGGGGAAACCAGGACGAGAAATTCCAAGAATCAAAAACAAACCGGCCGACATTGCAATGCATAAAAACCAACCTTTTTGTGGATTTTTTTTTCCCTTCCCTCCTTGCTTATTGCTTTTCCTTTCTTCCCTTTCCCGCCTGCCCTGGTCCAACGTTGGACAGGTACCGAGTAACACCATGTCATTACCACCTAGATACAAGTACCACGCAAGATCTGAAAGGGGAAAAGAAGAACCCCTTAGGGAAAAGGTGGAAAAAAGAAAATTTAGAGAAAATCGTTAAAACCTGAAACCAGGACTTTCTTTCCACACCCAGCCAACCCCTTGCTACCATCCATGGTCTGTGACTCTGTGGGCCATCGTCAGTGCTTCTTTCGCCCACACCCCAAAGGGCGATCGGATACGCGGTGAGCTTGGCAGTTGGGCTGTCTAACCCTCCCACTGCTGTAGCCTGCTGAAACCAGGAACACCTTTGTACAGGACCAATATAATTATTAATAATATTGATAGCCCTGGCGTCCTGTTAAACAACTCAGTTACAAGTGAGAAATTTATTAACTTATTATTATTATTATTATTACTACCTAACAAACAATCACACAAACAATCACACAGTGGTCCCTGGACAAATGCCGCGAACGGGCGGACTTCGGGCGACCCAGCCAGCTTCTGCTATTTTCCGTCCCCCCGGTGAGTTACCCCTCTAGCGCCGATCAGTTTAAGACAAGATGGAGATGGGATCTCTTGGACGTTTCTTGAGCTAACTTAAACTGATCTAAGAACCGGGGCCAACAGTTGCTGTAACTTTGTTATTAAGTGATGCTAGGTTTAATGAAGACTAGTATTTGCTGCATGAATATGATGTTGCAAAGTAACACAACTCAAAAAATAAATAAATAAGTCAAAAATAAATAAATACAAATGTACACAGCTGATAATTTGATTAGATTTTGATTAAAAGTGTTAAAAGTGTCACTGTTACTAAAAGTAAGATAAAACTTAAGTTATATATGATTTTTATTATTAGTATAGTCTGTACTTCATACAGAGAAGAGAATCTGTATAAAAAATTTGAAAGTAAGAATAGAACTTATTATTTTACAATTTAAAAATATCTGAGTTAGTCTAAGAATATAAATATATACTAACTTTTTACATAAAAATAATTAGTAAAATTAATAACTTCTTACATTTATAAATTTATTTAAAGTTTATTATTATTATTATTATTTTTCAATTATAAATATATATAGTTAAAAATTATAATATTTATCTGAAAACTTTTAATTTTTAAAGTACTTCTAATATCTATATAGCTAATTATTATATATTTATCAATTTCAGGTCAAAAAATAAGAATTTGAATAGATTAAACACAGACATTACTTATACTAAAGATAATATCAATTTTATCTCAGATTTCTTAAATTTAGACTGTGAATCTTAAGTCTTTAACACTGAACTATTTATAATAGTGAAAGCTTTTAAACTCATTAAAATAAAATCTTATAAAAGAGAAAATAGTTTGAAAGAGATATAAATATTCTCTGATAGTCAAGCTGCTTTAAAAAGACTTAGAAATAGTCAGATTCATAATAATCAAATGAATTTTAAACTGATTTTAAACTCTGTTTTAAAAATTCAAAAGAGAAGAATATTAAAGCTGATAATTCATCTACACTAAGTTTCTGCTTATATAAATATTCATGACAATGAATTAGCTGATTCAGCTGTAAAAAGAGATTCAGAATTAAGCAGATCTATTTAAAAAATTATATTCTGATCTTTTATAAAGAGAAAGATAAAAGAATCTTATTTAGATAAGTAAAATAAAAGCTGACAGAAATAAAAGAAAACTATACATTATTCAAGATTTAAAATAAAATCTAAGTGAAAATCTTGTTTTATTAAATATAAAAAGAAAATATTCTCATCTATAATGCAGCTGAAACTAGAATATGACTATTTCAAATTATATATATAAAGATTTAATAATAGATTTAATTCAATAGAATACTCATTCTGCAATATAAATAAGAATTCTAAGTATATTATAATGCACTGTGTATTATATAATAGTCTCAGAGTCAGATTAAAAGAGAAGTATAATTTAAATTAATTAAATATAAGATTCTTATTCTTAACTGAGACAGAAATTAAATACTTAATAGACTTTCTATCAGAAACTCAAGCAGCTATAAGAAAATGACTAAATTCAGAAATATCTGAATATAAAGAGAAGAAAATTGATCAGATATAGTCTGTTAAAATAGCTATATACTATCTTTTAATAATTTATTTTATTACAGTCTCTCTTTACTTCACTTTTTTCTTTCTATTCTTTTCTAATCTATCTATTTAATATGTCTATCTTTAAGACTGTGTTCTCTTTTCTTTTGTCATGATATTGTTAAATGATTTCAAAGTATCAGAAGATGTTAAAATACTGTAATTTATAAACAGTTTTTATATTCTGAGCTGAAATTCTCTGATTTTACATATCTGAAATTAATGAATGTATAATAGTTAACTTTATAGATATAGAAAAAACTCTGAGAACTAAAAGTTCTCAGATAGATATTATAGTCTCTGACTGTATATATAACATGCTTCTGCTCTCTATTTAAGTCAATTCTCTATTCAACTTTAACTTCTGTTTTATTTCTTACTGTTTTCTGAAGCTTCTGCTTCTATCTTCTTTCTCAGCTCTTTTCTTCATATGTAATCACTTCTTCTATGAGAGCTTTCACTTCTTCTCTACAGAGTCTTTATTCTTCTATTCATATGTGATTACTTCTTCTATAAGAGTGTTCACTTCTTCTCTACAGAGTCTCTGTTCTTTTCTTCATAGATAATTACTTCTTCTACAAGAGTTAATCTCTATAAAATAATCACTGTATATATAAGAATGTACACTCATCTCTTATCTTTTAGAGAATCAGACAAGTTTTTACTCTTATATCTGACTCTATATAGTATTATACACTACAATTTGATAGTATGTCTTGTTAAGAATCAAGCTCTTCTAGCCTCTTTAGCTTTCACTCTGTTCTCAATATACATAGCACTGATGATTGAACTGAGCTGTGAACACTGAGAATTGACTAGCTGATAATCAGTCTGATTAGTTATTCTATCTTCTTTTAATACTGCAGTTAGTAATTAATCTAGCTTGTAATTATTCAGCTATTCTATTTTCTTCAGTACTGCAGTTAGTGATTGATCTGATCTGTAGTTATTTAAATCTACTTTATTTAATACTACAGCTGATGATAGATCTAGCTGATAATTATTTAAACATCTTTCACTTCAGAATATTATAGTACTAGTGATCAGTCTAGATTATAATCATAGTCACAGTAAACTTATCTTATTCACACTCTTATATAACTTCATCAGTCTCATTACAATAATGAAGCAGAATAGATGAATCACTCAGAGCAGCTTCTATCAGTTACTCTCTTTCACTGAACTGAATAAACTTATTAACAGAATTAAACAACTTATCTGAGAATTTACTGATAAACCTGACTCAGAATAAACTTACTCATAAGCAATAGCTGAAAAGTATGCTATTATAATTGCAGAAGTCTGACAGAACACAGACAGATAGTATAAGAGTGTTAAAAGTCAAGTGACACTGTACAATTATATCAAAGTGAAAGATATTCTTATGAGTGTATTAGTCAGACATTATAATAATATAAAAACAGTTCTTAACTCTACTCTAATAGCAGAATGAAAGAACATCATTAATCTCTGATTACAGGTCTTTCACACAGACATTACAAAGAATACTAAGAAGAGGAATTTAATAGTCTCAAGCTTTCATAAATTTAACTGTCAGAACTGCACTTCTTCTGATAAAGTAGCAATACTAGATATAATCAAGAAGTTAGAACAGCTAGAAGCCTGACTAACCTGATAAGAGAATGAGCTCAATGAACATGAATATCAGCTTAATCAGTAAAAGAAGCAGTTGAATAAGTGTATTACTCTTGTTAATAAATATATCAGCAAACTTCAAGATAATCTTAAATAATTGACAGATGAAAGAAGTAGATTAATAGAAGTATGAACTAGCTTCTGTACTAAGAAAGCTGCACTCACTACTCAAAGACAGAAGTTGAATCATTATCAGTAGACAGATTATTTAGCTCAGATTGACAGAACAGATATCAGAGCTGATGATTTTCTCAATGAGTTTGTACAGTAATTAGATGCTTTCTTTGAGAAAGGCTTTGAATTATCTTCTAGAATCTGATGAGTACTGATAATTTCACAGAAACTATACAGTGCTGAAGACAGAATGTATCATCATAATTTAATAAGAGATAGAATTAATTTCCTCAGAGAAGTTAACACTGCATATTTTACTTATAACTCAGAGAGAAACTGAATGCATAGAGATCAGACACTCACTTATAACAATCTTGATCTTTTACTTGATAGTGAATTCTGTTCATTCACATGAAGTGATAATAGGTCAGTGAGATTACAGACTG